TCTCCCTCCCCCCAGGGCCTGAAGCGCTAACAACTGCCAGGAAAGAAAATGCCATGTTTTCATGTTTCCAATTAACTCCCAGTCTTGGGGCTGTCCTCTGCAGTCTCAGGACCCGAAGCCAAAGTGGATGCTGAAGAAAAAAGGACCCTCCTGCTCCCCCTTGGAACTGAGGCATGTGAACCAAAAAGGAGGCACCCATTGCCCCACCCCCACCCCCAACTACGGGCAGGCCTCTCTTATGAGACTACCCGGAACCAGTCACTGAGCCCTTCCACACAGACCCCCCAAAAGGGAAGGGGGTGAAAGGAATATTATTATTATGCCCATTTTACAGATCAGGAAACTGGAGCCTGAGGAGGTTACCCACAATAGCAGGGCCATTCTTTGCAGGGAAAGACAGAGAAATAGATGCCTTTTCTACCACCTGGGCTTTCCCCAACCCTGCCGGGAGATCTCCATCACCTACAATTCATTAGAAAAGGGGCCCAGCAGCTCGCTGTAAGTCTGTGAACTCACAGCAGAAGGAAAGGCTCTGTCTCCCCTCAAAAGGAAGATATTAAGGCTTGAACAAGCCTGTGGGGGAGGTGTTTGGGTGGGGGTCAAGCCCGGCACAATCTGGCTTAGACGGATCTCGCATTCCTCCCCCTCACCAATGCTACATTCCAGCCACATTCGCCTACTACATATCTTCCATCGGGGTGCCCCTCCCCCATACACACACTCTCACACACACACACACACACACACACAGAGTCGGAATTAGCCGTCCCATGTCCCATCTCCCACCTCCAAGCCTTTGCATAGGCTGTTGCTCCTCATGCCTGGAATGTTTTCTTGAGATCACAGATTTCTACCTGGAAGGGCCCTTAGAACTCACTGAATCTAACTTCCTCATTTTACAGGTGAGGAAACCGAGGCCAGGAGAGAAATAGCTCCCTTCAAAGCTCCCTCTGAACAAGTGCTGGCCCCTACTACAGCTGTTGCTGACTGACCCCTTCCCCTGTTATTTGTACTTCTTCCAACTTAGAGGCTAATTAAAATGAAAAAGAGGATTTCTGGCCTCAGTATCAGCACTCAAATCATTAAAAAAAAAACAAGCAAAACAAACAAACAAAAAAAACAGGGGCAGCTCGGTGGAGCAGTGGATAGAGCTCCCGCCTCGGAGTCAGGAGGACCTGAGTTCACATCCGGCCTCAGACACTTGACTTGACACTTACTAGCTATGTGACCCTGGGCAAGTTACTTAACTCTGATTGCCTCACCAAAAAACAAAACAAAACTAAAAACTCTCTGTGCCTCAGTTGCCTCATCCATAAAATTAGAGGGTTGGACAACATGTCCTCCAAAGTCCCTACTAGCTTGAAATCTATGACCCCATGAGCCCTCCCATATACTTTACATGTCTTGCATTTACTTAATATCTGTATATGTTTTCCCCTCCCTCTCCAGTACTTTTTCCTTCCCCCCATGGAAGCTCTTAGGTGACAAACTATATACCTTGTATCTTTACCGGACGGAGCTAGATATTCAGTAGGCATATAATAAATGCTTGTTGAAACGAACTGAACTGGTATCTGCCCCAGGCCCCCTGCTGGTAGACAGTAAGCTATGTGAGGGCAGGGGCCCCTTGTCGGTCTCCCTTCCCATTATGACCTAACTTGAGGCACCAAATGCATTCTGGGAACACATCCTGCCACATCTGATTTCCAGGGCACCCTCAGCTTTGCTTTGTCCCATCTGACACCTGGTGACAAGCCTTGGAGGTAGGTACTTTCATCTCCATTTTACAGGTGAGGAAACTGAGGCTCACAAAGGGCCAGCGCCTGAGGCAGCGCTCCACGCCCAGCTGGTCGCCCTGAGAAGTTGGAAAGAGCCCGAAACTTAGAAGCAGAGAGCCAGGGTCACCACGCCAACAGCGAGACCTTGCAAAATCACTTTGCTTCTCCAGATTTCAACTTCCTCTTCTGTAAACTGAGGTGCAAAGGGGCAAGGTTTGGGCTGAAGGGTTTCCTTCCAAGATTCCTTCCAGCTCAAGGTATGATCCCCACTAAAGTCCCTCATTAGGCAGATGTTATGTTACATGTATGTTACAGTGTATCTGTAACTTAAGGTGGCCCAGCTAGGGATGGAGCCAGGGCACCCGAGTCCAAAGCCAGGGGCCTGCCCACACTAGACCAAAACGTCAGGTACAGGCCCACACATTCCCAGCTCCACCGAGACATCTCTGACTTGAACCCTTCCTATGCCCAAGGTATCATCTTTTCACCCAAGGGGTTGGGCAGGGGAAAGCAGGACCTGTGTCTGTCTGAATGACCCATGCTTACTCATGTATACTGCTGGGGGGCAGTGCAAGGTGCTAAGTGGGGGAGCTCTCCTTACCCACGCCCAGGAAACTCAGGGAGGACCAGACACTCCCCACATCCTCCCAGCTTCCAAGAGTACGCCTGCCTGGTCACAGGAAGAACCAGCGCTCACAGGTGTGGAGGTTCTGCCAACCTTTGCCCCTCCCCACCCAGCCCACAGAATCACAGGGGACCTCAGAGCTGGAAAGGAATTCAGATAATCTGATCCAAGCCCTTCATTTTATAGAGAGGGAACTGAGGCCCAGGGAGGATAACAAACTTGGCCACAGCCACACCATGGGGTAACGGCACAGGGAGCATTTGAACTCAGGACAGTGCTGAGCTTTTTGGATGCCAACTGCCATCTTCCTTCGGATGCCTCTGCATCCCTCAGCAGATTAATTCTAGACACCAAGTGCCCTGACCACTCGGAGAGGGATAGATTAAATTCATTCCCAACCAGGCTGACAACTCAGACAACTTTCAATTTTGTCCTTCCATGGGCCACCTCCATTTTAATAAATGATAAACAGCTCTCCCAGACTTCAGCAAAGGGAATGAAACGTTTCAGGCAGAATTGGGGGCATGAGAAAACCAGGTAGGAGAGGTATGTGGGGAGGGGGAAGAAGGAGTCCCCATGTGCCTAAGGCCAGCCTCAGTGGGGGAACTGTCCTCAATTGGTCGGTCCGGCATTACCCAAGGACTGCAGGACCCAGGGAGCTGGCCTCCAGGCCCGGCCTCTCCCACTCTGGGGAGGCAGAGAAAGTGAGGGTACAAATTCAGAACTGAGGGGAGGGCTTGGGAAGAGGCAGAGGAGTTACAGGTGTCCAGAGCCTTTGCTGAGAAATCCCCTTGAGCAAAAAAAACAACAACAACAACAACAAAAAAAAAACGTTCCAGGAGAAGCCACCAAGAGGATAATGACAAAACCACTAACCACTACCCCCAAACTAGCCGGTGAAGTTCTGTGGCTAAAGGCATAAATCACGGGGCTAGGGATGGGGCTGGGCAAAGCCCTGGGCTGGCCAAGCCCGGTGGTCTAGCCTCTGGACACATGGGGGGGAGACTCACAAACACCTGTCCTCCTCCTCCTTCTCCACTCCAGGGGAATGCTGTCGTCCCCAGTCAGCAGAAATATGCCTGCCAGGCCTGGGGGACCCACCCCAGCTTCAGACCCCCCAACTGATGGGAACTGGAGCTTCAGAAGCCACAAAGAAGAAAAACAAAGGCCCGAGCAAGGCTCCGGGAAGGTGGGATCCCTGGCAAGGAGTCCCTCCCCGCCCCCCCAGGTCAAGCCAGTCCCTCCGTGCAGTGCCCCCGGGCCAACAGCAGCAAGGATTTCTCAGCGAGTTCTTCCTTCCCCCTCCCCCAAAGTGGGGCCATTCTCCAGCCCCACTGAGAACGAGAGAGAGGTTCAGGCTCCAGCCACCACCGTCTGCTGACCCGAACCCTCTGACTCCCCTCCAGTCAAAAATAAAGGGGCTCGAGAACGGGGTAGGGAGAGCCAGCGAGGCCCAAAAAAGGAATCCACCGACGGGCTGAGCAGGAGAAGAGGACCGAGGAGGCCACTGCTGGCTTCCAGGCCCAGACCTCAGGAAGCAGTTGTCAAACAAAGGTCACCACCGGAGGCTCGGAGATCTGGCCCCACAAGCCCCCTGACATCTCCCCTCACTCATTTCCCGGCTCCCAGAGCCCAAGGCCGTGACAGGGAGGGCCGGGGACAAACAAAAACACTAGACGCTGGTTTCTCTCAAGTCCCTCCCTCCCCCCACTAGAAAAAAACCCTCAGGGGGTGACAAAGCTGAAGCTGGGGAAGGCAGGGGGAGGGGATCCAGCCTGGCTTCCCTTCCTAGACACTTGGTACTTAGGTCCCTCAAGATTTCGCCCTCCCCTGGCAAGCCAGATTGGAGATGGGGAGGGAAGGAGAAAGTCAACTCATCTTATTGTTTGGGGGTGGGAGGAGGAGTTTACCCATCCTCTAAGGGATCCCTCCTCATCCTTCCACCTCCCCCAAAATGTTCACGAGGGGCCCCACGTTCCCCCGAGCATTCTCGGTTTGGGGGCAGGGGAGGGGGGGAGGGGAGAAGGAGAGCGGGAGAGAGGTGAGGGCGGCTTACCACCTCCAACCGGGAAATCACTTCCCCGGTCCGGCCATCTAACGACTCCTACTCCCAGCTTCCCCGCGCCCCCCTCCCCCCCGTTTCTTTCTCTTCCGCCCCCAATTCGGGGGGTGGGGGTGTCGGAGGGAGGATAGGAGGGGGACCGGGGGGGGGTGGGTGGCTTGGGAGGGCACGGAGAGGGGAGTCCCTTTTCCCGCGCCCCCCTCCGCTCTCTCCCCTCCCCCCGGGCCGCCCGATGAAACGTTATGTATCATTTTTCGGAAGCTCCATTGTGTGCCCGCCGCCGGGGCCGCCGCCGCCGCCGCCGCCGCCGCCGCAGAGGGGGGCGGGCGGGAGGGCGCTGGGTTTGGGGGGGCCCCCCTGGCTCGGGGGGGGGGGGGGGGCTGGGAAAAGGCGGCCGGGGGCCCCCGGGGGGGGGGGGGGGGGGGGGCCCCCCCCCGGCCCCCCCCCTGGCTCGGGCGCCCTGTCACAGCCCCGACTCGCAGGTAGGGAGAGTTAAGAGATTTAAAGAGAAATTGCTACATTGTAACAAACTCACCGTGATGTTTGAGCAGCCGTCGGCGCGGGGTCTCCGAGACGTCCCCGCACGGGCTGCACAGGGAGGACCCAGAGCAGGCCGAGCCGCCGGGCCGGTCAGCGCAGTGCCTGATCGCATGGCCGCCCGCCCGCCCCGGGCCGCCCCCCTCGCCGCCCCGCGGCCGCCGCCCG